GATTGACACCTGCATCATCCGAAATCGGGGCAATGCCATCCGGTTTAGCGATTATCTCAGGATATTAAGTGTAAATGGATTGAAGGACTCAGTCTTTTGACTGCTGACGTTTACTTTCGTTACATGACATGTTCTGTTCTTCTGAGTTCCTAGTTGCCCAGATTCCCCCTCACAGTGTATGATCTGAGTCCCTACATTGAGAATTTGAAGAACAAAGAATGCCAGCCACCCACCCAAAGGCCGCATCATTTTGCATCTGGGAATGACACGTGACACTCACATTCCTCAAGGACTCCTCGCCTCGCCCCGGCCTTTGTGGGCACAGCGTCGTCCATCGGTCCGTCGTCCAGGTTCAGATGTCGAAGGATTGATGTCCCACGATGGGCGCCTTCTCGCGTGCACAAAGATGGACGCAGATGGGCGCTGCAGGCGGAGCAACAGAAATGGCATATCAAAAATGCGTTGCTTAGCTGCTTGGGATACTGCTTTTGGCTACTGTACACTGTATACGTAAGGAAGCAGTTAAATAGACAGGATATATTATTCAATAATATATCAGATTCATTCTTTGGATGCTCAGCTGGGAGATGACTGAAAGGAGCATGCTTTTGAGTTGCTGCCGATGCGATTAGTGTCTTGCAAGAAGAGCAAATTTATTGAAGTTTCGAACTCTGAAGAAGGGATGATGCGGCAAGTGCTGCAATCCCGTGGACACGGAGCCTAATGTTCCGGTATAGAATTACGCATGTTCTCAGGAACATACCCTACATGATTTGTTGGCGGTACTTCATTTTCTGAGGAACATCATGTTTGCCAGGATTGCAAATGAGTCGATCGACCGAGTCCATGACCCTTGCGACCGAGTCGCTCGAGTACCCGGGGCCGAGCGGGGCGCTTCCCTCGGGCAGTCGATGAAAAAGAATGGAACCTGTCTCTAAAACTATCCAGCTGGGAGTGCAGTTGTTCATGTTTTTGTTTGTTTTCCAGAGGGAACAGCTGAAAACGGGCTTGCGTGGTATGGGGACTGATAGGGTCACTGCCGTTCTCTTCTTGTCTCAGCTTGGCTCAGATCCAACAAGGTTAAGGTCAATATGGAGACTGCCGTCCTCGTGGATCTCCCCCAAAAGAGACTCCTCCGTTTCTTTGCCTCACATGGAACAAGATCCGAAGATTAAGATGGACCAACATCCAACATCCACAGTTCTCTTCCAACATCAGAACCCACAGAGTCAAGGCTCCCAAAGTCACACTTCCCCATGCATGTCCTTTGTCCGTTTGCTCCGCACACATGCGGCGCATTTCTCTCCGCGCGGGTAGCTCCCTGGCGACGGTGTTAACGCGGGGCTCGGCGCGGTGTTCTTCGACCTGGCGCAGCTCCCGCGTGGGCGCGCACGTGGCGCGACTGGAACGTCAGGTGGCCCGGACCGGGGCCGTTGAGGCCCGGTGCCGTTTGGTGCTGGCGTCCCCTGGTTGCAGATGGACGAACACACGAACACAACACATCACCAAACACGAACACATGGGATTGCCATATTGCGGATCAGTTGGGGTGGTTGACCTGGGGTCAATGTAGGCATATTATGTACGATACATGGAGTGCTTGGGACATGGAAGTGGAAGACAGCCATGTTTGTAGAGGAACATAGTCTTTTCGAAGGCCATGCCTTTCACTTTGGCTGTTGTGTGTTTCGTCGTTATCATCGGCGTCGTGGTCGTGAGACTGAAAGAAAGCTATAGGAACATGATTGTAAAGGCTGAGACTGAAAGTGTCAATGATAATGATTACATGATAAATGATGTCTCAAGTGAGAAAGCTATAAGATCAGGTCCCTTTTCCCCATCACCAACTCCAAACGCCAGGTATGCCAAAGAGCTCTCGCGCCGAAAGAAACGGGAGTCTGAGGACCTGAAGGAACTGAGCCTTTGACGGATATCGCCGTGGGCTTTTGGGGGGCTCCGGTCGACTCCAACCCTCCACGAGCCAATTCGGGAGAAGACACCATGAAGAAACAGAGGTTGTTGAAGCCTTAAGGGGATGGTCAAGGTAGATCACCAGAAGACTCTGTCGTATTTTCATTCAAGACTGTCACAGGGGCTCGTGGCGCCTACATGTTTGGGTTGTTTTGTCCCTGCAAACATTGGATTCGATCCTTGAATGCTAATTGTGTGTTGGGTACATACATGTATATAGATACTTTCAATAGCCAACGTGGCGGCCCTAAGAGTTTGCCAGGGTGTCGGGTGTCGGTATATGATAGTGAAACAACTGCTGTGGATCAGTTCTGTGACATTGGTTGTTCTTCAAACGGGTTTGCCTGAATATGCCCTTGACACTACACTATTAAGACTCAAGACCCAGAAAAACTAAAATTATATATTAATTATATAATATATGGCCAGCTGTAACACTCACCTTGTT